GCTACGCAGGTTACATTCAGAGTAAAACAAAGATCAATGAATGCAGTAGGACAATAATGTGTTTATTGATACAACAAGGCTGGATCCAATGCGTTTTGTTTCCTTTATTTTAAAGGTGCAAAACCTTCATACAGAAAAAAAATAGCCATCATGATACTGAGTTACATCATCTCTTATGGTCATCAAGAATGCACAGTTTTAAAGTTGCACTCTGTTTTACATGTTATACCACAACTTTTCCTGTTACTCTATGGCGTCATTACACTTAACCTTTAACCGTATAATTCTTACTCATGAAAATGCTTTTCCGGCTACCTTGCTTACAAATTGGTTGTAATTTCTTTTGTTTCAAAGTCCCTTGTCATCGTCGTCGTCAAAGTTGTTGCTGAGTGTCAAGGTTTTGGTTTGTTTATTCGTTCGTTAGGTTTTTTTTTTTTTTTTTTTTTTCTATCCTTGAATATCTAAATTGTAGTTTTGTATCTTCATTGTAATCTTGTATTTTAGTTTTTGTTACTTATAAATCCTTGTACTCTGATTCTATTTTTGTTTGTGTGGCNTTTTTTTTTGCATCGTTTTATTGCTTATTCTTCCTAGTGTATACACACATGACGGAACACATACGCGAGTATCTTTTTTTGGCATATTATGTAGTTCGGATACACCAGTATGAGTATCTATCAGTTTAAATTGAAAACACTTTTTGCCAACACTTTTTAAGGCACGTATTCCTTTTGGGGTAAGTCAGCAGTTTTGTGGTGTCCAATCACAACAGCATTCATAGTCCTACGGGGAAATAAAAAGGAACTAGAATTAAAAGCAAACATTTAGCCTCATCTCGTATTAGTATCATCAAACTAGTGGTGTAATGTAAATCCTGCATTTTACTTGGCTACACTACTATAGAGGACTATTATCGATAGTCCTCGAGAAGCGAAATTGGCGCAATCGATCGTGACGCTTTCTTTCGTTTTATTCCTAAATAGATATTTCTTCAACTCGCACTTGCTAACTTTATTATTGCCTTTACTGTCCGACTAGTTGGGTGATACTAAAACAATTAGACCCTTCGCCCTCAAGGGCCACGGGTCAATAGCCCATGAGGCGAGGCCGAATGGGCTATTGACCCGTAGCCCATGAGGGCTACGGATCTAATTGTTAGTTAGTCTGACCAGTTACCTTGTACTGTTAATTAAGTATCAATTAATAGAGTAAAGTCTTACCTGTTAGCATTTGTCTCTTAAGACCTGAACCAGTAAGTAACGCCAGGAAATCAAAAATCGTCGGTGTCTGGACGATCGTGCCTGCAACAAAAGAACGTTAAGGAGCGGGAGTGTTGTTCATTAGTTCACGACTTGCAGTTAAAAAAAAAACAAAAAACCGTCTGATGCAATGTGCCAGACGCTATAGCTCTAGCTAAAAGTGTCATTCCAATGCAAAGTTTGAAAAATGTAAATACAAGATATTAAAGTTATTTCAATATAAGTTTCCACACGTCCAGTTTGTGCACCATACCAGTGTTCTTCGCCAAAACGCAGAGGCGGATTCATAAAAGGGGTTTTGGGGGTTGTAAACCCCCCCCCCCCACCCCTCTCTCCCTTTGAGTAGCATTTTATTTGTTATTTGTTTGACTCACCATAGAAATAATAGAATAGACCAGTTTTACATAGTTTGCTTCACTTCCAGCAATTGACTGATTGTCAAGTTAAGAAAAGATAATGTACATTTGGCAATTACATTATTAATTTTGATTTTCTGGTTGATAAAAAAATTTTATATCATGCTTTCCCAAACTTTTTTAGAGTGTCAGAGATGCTGGAAATGGTGTTTCAGAGCCGGGGTAAAATCGGAATTTGTGGCCCCAGACCCCTTCATGGTCAAGATGCATGACTTGCCAAGAAATTTATTCGTGCTTCTTACTGATTGAGAGGTCCATCCAAAGGTTCTTTGGTCTCTCAGAAATCTTAGACGGCTGATTAGCATCGTTACGTCTTGTCTTTAAGATAAAATAAATATAATTTCATCGTTGGTTAGTTTATTTAGTTCGCCAATGAACCGAATAAAGTTTTTAACGCACTAAATATATATTCTTTTAACTTTTAGTCAGTTTTGATGATAATATCTAATAAGCAAGTCTTTTCATCGTCACCTGTTCAAACAGAGCCACGACTTCCGTGCTGGCACTGTCATTGCCGTGTGATACTGTTATTCCACAGAAGAACTGCTGCTTCGTTTTGTCAACGTGACTTATTACGAAATCACGACGAGGAAAATTGGAGTTTCCAGGCGAGTTCCATACATCTTTTGATTTCATCGTCTAAAAGCAACAACGGAATAACCTGAATTAATAGACATTACCTTATTACATCTGTAGTATTCAGCGATAAAAGTGCATTTTTTCAGCTGACCTTCACAGTTGTTTATTAACCCTTTCCAAAGCAGCAACTGACTGGTTCACTTAGCAGAACTTCACATATCTGTGAGTACATGATGTAAAATTTGAACGTTTGCAACATGAATTGCGGAGGATTCTTTTGTAGCTGCTTAAGTTGCTGCATAACTTACCTATACGTGTAATAATTGGGCCAAAAAAAAAAAAAAAACTGAAAAGAGAGAACTGTAATAAATGATGTGGGAGGAGTTCTTGTCTAATTGTTAGTGTAGTCGATATTGGATCGATCGACAGGTCTCGGTGCTTAGTAGCCAGCCTTGTGTCCATATTCAGTTGCGATATGGGCCAAGACCCCCGGGGGG